AAAGTCGCACCTCTTGATGCAAAACTTTTCCAACTGAACGGCCTCAGTTTTCTTTTTGCTCCCATTTGGCGAGTAGTTGCTGATTGCTTAAAGAAATGTTGGTGTCTTCCATGTGAACTGTGAACAATCTTTCAGTGACTTAAACAATACACAGTACTGTACACCTCTTTGCAATGAATTTAACCTATAGTGCCACCAACCACCTGCCAATAGATCAGGAAACATAAATTTGTCTCTTCTGACCAGTGGTGGCCAACCAGTCTCCTTGGACCTCTTGCTCAAGATATACTGCTATCAGAAGTCCTGCTTTCTAAAGTCCTTCATCTTTAATCCTTGAGTTGAGCACAAACTGTACATAAAAGTGACTGTGATGTCAATCATTGGTTAGCAGCCTACAGTGAAGGTTGGAGGAATACACATTTTACAGAGTATTTTTAACCCTCTCAAGGCAGGCGTTGCAGATTTGCAACAGTTAAGAACTAACAACCTGATTACCCCACATACATATTTTATGAGGTTTTTTTTTACTCAAAAGTACCACTGCAGGACTTGGTTGTGCATTAGCAACAAAAAGTTTAATTTGAGCCTGAGAGGGTTAATAAGCCTAATATGTACATTTTCAGTTTTTCCACATCCATGGAGTTTGTTGCCATGACATGCACATTTAAATTTACAGATCACAGTGGAAAGGCATAAAACCTCCACATGTAGAAATTTTGTAAGTAAAACAAAATTTTATTTTATGCCTTTAGGATTTTTGAAAGAGTTTTAAATCTAGAAATGCTTTTAAATTAAATATTTTAGTTATTTTTACTTTTTTTAGCAGGCTGCCATCAACATACTGCCATCAACATACTGGCAATAATAGTCAGTTTTACAAAAATAAAAAGCAAGCAATTACTTCATGTTTTATGAACCCCTCCAGTTAGCCCATTGGTGCACAGGTTCTGGCCCCTGGGCTGCATTGTTTGACACCCCTGATCTAAAGAAAACTACATAATCTCACACATGCTCCATCACATGCTCTCTCTTCCCCTCTCTCTTTTTCTGTCTCACCCAAACACTCCAATTATACCATGAAAACATCTCATTATTTTCACCCAGGGAGTCATTCAGACCTGGATAAACACACAAACAAGACCAACAATGAACATCAAAAGCCATTGCTCACTGGTATGTTTTTTCTCCCTGGAGGGGGGTGGGGAATAGAGGTAGTGCTGCCTAGCTTTGAGGCTCTGTTGTAGGGAGGGGGCTAAAGTAAGGGTGGGCGGGGTCGCGGGGCGAGCGGCAGGTCTCTCGGAGTTGTCGCCCCAGGCTCGCGATTTCTCAGCGAAAGATTTCCAGGAGCCAAAAATCAATGTTAATCTGAGGCCACCTGGGCATGTAAACAGAGCCATAATGGAACTGTACACACCCACGCACACACACAGAGGTGATACACACCTAACGAAAGAGGAAATGCACAACAAATACAGCTACACACATACAAACAGAGCCCAGGGATCACATGTACTGTAAGAGCCCCCCCCCCTCCTCATTGCTGCAGGCTACCAGAGACAGTATGACAGGATGAGGCGCAGAGGGACAGAAAGATCTAAAGAAGACAGTGAACAAACGAGACAAAGGACAAAGAAAGAGTGAAGTAAAGAAAACCGAGAGGGAATTAGGGAATGTCTAAGAGGAGTGGTGCTCTTGCCTCCCGTATACTTCATTTTCTCGAATCTCATGGGGAAAACTTTCTGGACTTACAAGTTTTAAAAGGACATGGTAGAACCACATAGTGATGTGCAATCTAATATTAACCAGAGCTTTAAAAATTCAGCTAGGAGTAGTCCTGATTATTAGAAATTATATTAGTTACCTTGACTTTATTTACCTTTATTGTAGGGTACAGACATTCACAATGAAACTGCTGATCAGGCTCAGAAGGGCAGAAGTCAGGAGTGATGAGACCAGAGATAGTCAATAAAGTTCAGTGACTTGTAGCAACGACAAGTGAAATAATGTCAGATGAGCAGGTGCTGAGGTACTCATCTCATCCCCGAGCCAAGTGACTGACCTCTGATTGACAACTCACTTTAGTGCCACCTGTAGAGTTCTGACGTCTCAGTCGCCTCTCCAACTATTTCACTGACATAGTGCCAGTTCAGTTGTCTCAAGGCGCTTTATATCGCAAAGCAAAGACCTTCCAGCATGAGACCAAGAGGGCCAAGAATCTAAAGATCCGTTTTCACAGGAAGAGACCTAAGGTAGAAGGTTGGGGTTTGAGCCAAAAGATAAGCAGGAAAGAGAAGCAGAGAGAGACCAGGAACAGCAAACAGGACGACAACACAAACTATAGAAGAGAGTAAAGCTAATGCTATTAACAGTGGCTGCAAAGTGCTCAGTGCATTATGGGAAGTCTCCATTCCACCCAGAGGCATAACTAAGCAATGATTGACCTGAGGCAGCCATAACTATTAGCTTTGTCAAAATGGAAAGTATGACTTTTCAAAGTAGAGATGTTTTTCTCCTGAACCTACTGAAAAAAAAAACAAAAACAGTTGTGGAAATTTGAGGAAAATTTGTCATTTATGGAAAAGGTTTGTGACCAGTTGACGTCAGCTATGCAACAATTTGTTCTTGGGCAAATGCATCATAGAGTCGGTGCAGTCGCGTTGTGAAAGACATTTAATAAGCCAAACAAAAAGAAAAACCAAATGAGTGTACTTGTTTATTACGCTGAACTGGCCCAGTTAGCCCGTCAGGATCTGTGGTTAATAATCTCTTTTTCCATGATGATAGATATTCCACTTGTGTTTAATGACTTTTGGGAGGTTAAATCTGTTTCAGCTTGTGGTTGAAGAACATGCCATGACTATAAATCATAAAGGAAACCTTGTGTTACCCAGTTGCTGTCCATGGTGCTGATCGGAAGCTGGAAAGATGCTACAGTTACTTTTGATTACTGTTATACACAGTGTGTGTGTGTGTGTGTGTGTGTGTGTGTCTGTGTGTGTGTGTGTGTGTTCATAAGAGAAAGAGGAAGCGTGGGAGACAGAGGCACTGTGTTTGCTTGGGTATCTACCCCGGGGCCTATTACAAAGTTGTTACACCTGTCCTGAAGCCAAACTGGGGGCTGGTTCTACAGGAGAGGGTCCTAATAGCTGAAGCCTCTGCCTGTTTATCTAGCTTTAGAACTACAAGTAAGCCTGCAGTCTGAAAGTGAACTGCTTTACTGGAATAACATCATCTTGTGAGGTTTTTAAGATGTGACAGGACTCAACAACTACGCAGACAGGTTCACAGCCGCTGCGTTGCTTGAATTCTTTGCCAGGAAGCCACAAAAATGAGTTTTGATGACAGACATTGAGAAAAATCAGGTACTGAGCAAAGCCGGGAGGTTTTATTTTCTGTTCTTCTTGGATAACTGTGAAAAATTTCAACCCAGCTCATAGTTTTAAGATATTTCAATCCAACATGGTTACTGACTGAGAACACCAGTAAAAAGAATCAGAGGGGACTCGGATTCCCGTGAGACCAAAATTTTTTTTGGTCAAACATAATGCCTGAGAGAGCAAGAGAGAGGGAGAGAGAGAGAGAGGGAGATTTGATATATGGAATATGGAGAAACCGACAAGTAACATAAAAAGCGAAAGAAAGAACAGAGGAAGGTCGGTCCAGATCAGATCCAACCCTCTGGCTAATGTCAAGGCCAGTTACAGTATATCTTTCTACAAATACACACACACACACACACAGCCTGAGGCTAATGCATTCAACTTCCCTGAATAAAATATTAAGCAAAGCACAGAGGCTCACTGGAGAGAACCAAGCTTAAACACAAAGTCACTGGAATCTGACAAACCAATCAGCAAGAGGCTGCATCTTAGGGACCGGCTGCAGACGCAAAGCAGAAGAGGAATTTAAAAAAAGTGTCATCATTACAAGACAAACTTTACTTATTGTCCTGCTAGTGGTTCAGTAGAGGAATGGTACAAAGCTGTTGGCATTTCATAATCTAAGCATGCTTTGTACTGTGAAGGATTCAAAGACCTTTTGATTACAGTAAATATACATAAGTTGGAATTAATATGAATTACGGACACTTTAATGCAAAAGAACAGAACACAAGCGCTTTGGTTAATCATTATATTTTGAAATTTAAACACATGTTCTACACATATATTCTACAATTCACAGCTTTACATGACAATTTTTACTCTTCTTTATAAACACTTTATTAATGGTGTTATTTTTTATAGAAATTTGTTGCAGATTGGTTGCGTGGTCTGCCACAGTTATGGAACTTTGTACCTCTCCAAGAAAGGTGGAAAGAAAATGAATATACTAACTTAAAGAATATTTTATTCACCTACATGCACTCAGTTTATTTCAGGTCAGAGTAACAGTCTCTACTTTATTTTGTTGTCCTTTTGTGGTCATGCTAGTTTCTGTCCTTTGCTCTCAGCTTCACCACGTGTGCCCAGGAGAGAAGAGTTCTTGTGTTATTGTAGGGTCTTTACATCACATTAGAAAGCACATTGAAGCACCTGTTGTTATTATTTGGTGTCAATAAAATATAAATATATTAATAATACATATATTAATAAAATTGAATTTAATCCATCATTCCTTAAGCAAAGAAACAACAACAACCACTGATAATCTATAATCAGATAATTCAGTTCAGTGCACCAAATCAAAACAACAGTCTACAATATAAAGTGCCTTGGGTAAAGACTGTACAGTACTAGAAAGAAACCCAAATAATCAGATGACCTTTTATGAGAAAGCACACTCCCTTTTAACAGAAGGAAACTCCAGCAGAATCATCTAAAGTCAAAAGATAAACAATTTAGACTGAAATCTGAGCATTTTTGAAAGCTCAATCAGCTGCTAGAGGTTTAGCTGCTGATTCCAGGAAAATTATTCCTGCCAAGAACACTAGAATCAGTCCTGGTCCATTATAAGAAATAACATTATTAGTCATAACATATGCATTAAGCAGCGGTACTCACTGGACTGTGGCAGCATAGAAGTGTACACCTTGGGGTCGATGGTCCCCATGGGTGGTGGCAGCAGTGGGTTGGTGAAGCTTCTTAGTGGATGGGTGGGCCGCACGCAGGCTGTCGGGATGGTCCGGCCGCTCCCACCCTGGGCCTCCTCTGCCGCTGCAGTGGCTGCAGGGACACCCGGGACTGGGCCTATCGAGGGAAGGTGCTCCCCAGGCGGGGCTGAGGAACCGGGGAGGAGAGGTGCAGTCTGCTGTGTTGGAGGCTGTTGCTGGAGAAGAGGATTGGAGGAGGCATCTGTGGACAAAGCTAAGAATGGGGAAGCAGATAAACGGATGTAGCATGTTAAGCAGGAAGGAGGTAAAAAAAAAAAAGATTCGATGGGAGGTTAAGAAGAGATGAGAAATATTAGCGAGGGGAATTTGAGAGAAAAGACAAAACATCCTATTAGTCATTTACGAAGAGCAAAAGAACGGTCAGAGAAAAGACAGACTAATCACAACAAGTCTGAGTAACACGGTTATAAATTGTGGAAAGAGATCGTGCTGAATTTTAATTGTGTTCTTTGGCACTACAAGGCAAGTACAATCTAGTAATTGTCCATTATCCTTTAAAAAGCAGACATCCTTACACTCAAGTAGTAATAAATATCACAACGGGCCAGAGGGAACATGTAAATTTGGGCCTTAAACTTGTTGAAATTCCACTACTGTGTTGCAGTTACTGTGTTTGTCTTCTCTCACGAAGTTACAGCTTGTCATTTATCCAGTCGTCTTTAAAATTTAATAAATCTCATCTGTATAATTTAACACTTTATTTAAAATGCCAATCTCCTCCTCTGGCATAGAGAAACCCTGCCAGGTCTTAGTTTTATTCTGTTTCTTGTTGAATGTGAAGCTTCATGCTGGTGCTTCTCTACTGGATGAATTTCTCCACACTGTGCGAAACCCTGTTTTATCTTGTCAAAGACACATATGAGAGGAAAAAAGGAGAAGAGCTTCTTGTTAAAGGAAAAGACAATAAAAAAAATCTTCAGCGTGCAGAAACTTGACTCTCATGTGTCATGAGAGATGAAACTCCTGCTTGTGTAACTACAGCCAGTTTGATCAGAGAGAACATTGGAAAGCTGGTTATTGTATGTTGAGCTGCTGTGCGTTCATTAAGCAGCTGAGACCAGAAGGAGAATGTAGAGGGAGAGCCGAGAGAAGGAACGTGAGCGCAGTTAAAGAGTAAAAATGAGAGGGGGAGGAAAAAAGTGACAAGAGGGGACCGAGATATAAAAATGGGAGACTTTCAAAAAGCTCAGAGAGACGATGAGAAGAAACGGGGCAACGTAACAATAATTTGTGTTTTTCCAAGAATCTAGTTCATGCGTTATCACAACTCATTAAGGTTTTGAAGAAAATACATCTGCATTATCTCCAGATTGAAACACAGCATTACCTCCTCTATCAGGAGGAAAGTTGGTAACATTCTCCATAACAATTTACTGCAAAAAATAAAATGGATTTTTAAAATAGTGACTCGCAGGTCTACATGAATACACTTGAATACTGAAAATACCAAATGCCTTTAAAGGAAAAACGAATAGCAAGAAACACAATATTCATTTCATTTGGCTAACTCACAGGAATGTAAATGTTATATTAAAAGATGGTTATTTGAGAAACTTCACATTTAGACAATTAGACTGTATGGAAAATGCTACATATGGCAGTGTTAGTGTAACTATACAGTGCAGGGACTCAAGGAAATAAGGCAAAACTGATAACCTGGTTTAAATAACAGAAAATAAACTGCAGTCTCTGTGGTTATATGTTCCGGTAATAAATGGAGACCAGAGCAAGGACACTAAAATAAGAAATGAATGATGGCACTAAAATGTTCTTTACACCCAGGTATCATAACTTCTTTAAAGTAAGAATCTGCTTAACCTTGTATGACATGAGGAAATCTTTAAAAGAACCAAAGTTTATGTATCAGTACGGCGCAATACAGGGTAACCATATTTGCCAGGAAGAACAGACACTTACATTTACTCGCTGCACCTTCAAAGGCCTTGAAAAGATTATGAGTCTGATGTTATCAAATCTTTCAAAGAACTGAGGCATAAAAAGGCTGAGGCATACATTTTTAATATCTACCACTGAGAACTCTCGTAAGAGGACATCAACATGACTCCCTTACTAAACCCCTCAAAAACAAGTGGTTCGTTTTGTTTTTCCTCACTACTCTTTAATTATTAACACCTGTCCTGTCTCCTTTTCCTCACCTCTAACCAGTGACAGATGGTCACGAACATCATTAGTGATTGTCCTAACCTTAATCAGAACTCTGTACTATTAGAATATGTAATTTTAAAAATGTGCTCCATATACATGTTGTCAATGAGGAAAAAATACAATCAGTTAATCTGATACATTGAAATAACTATTGTTTTTTTTATTTTTCCCAATAAAGTGCTTCTACTTGGGTTAGAGTTATGGACATGAATTAGGGTTAGCACAGAGTGAACACACAATGTAAGCCTGGACTAAAAAGAGAAAAAATAGTTACATTTTAACACGTGACCAAAATACTGTCATGTGACATGAGATGGTATGGTAATAGGAACATGGTGGGACTATTTCAGCCACACCACGCAGCTTCTGTCATCATGTCCAAGGCTGCATGCATGAAAGGATGTACATAAATTTCCTCCTATAATATTCCAAAAAACTTTGAGACAATGGCATCTACTTGAAAAAGAGGAGAGCTATAAAGTACATAAACATTAAGTTGTTCAGAGCAGAAAGCAGATGAATTGGATCATTTGGATTCAAAGAGCATGCTGGTGTAACCATCGAGATTCGGGAGGATTCAGTGTTTTACCATGCTAATGAATTGACTTAAATTTATCTAAGAAGTTCTACAGGGATCAATGTCTTAGTTTAATTAGCCACATAGCAGCAGAGTCTAAAGCTCCCAGATTGGGTATTGCTACTGTCTATGTTATTTGGGGAACATAGTTGACTCGTTCTGGCCCTAATCTTCTATCTTTTCCCTTATAATCAGCAAAGTCCATTGTTGTATCTCGTTGCGTGTACGTCTCTATCGTTTTTCCTTCATTAGCAGCTTTCTCATTATATTTGCCTTTCTCTATCATTAGCTGCCCCACCCGCCTCCACTCTTGTGTGCTTTGCCAGCAGCGATCAACCTTCGTGTTGTGTCAGGCCGTCCACTGACTCTGCCTCTCTGCTGTTGTTATATCACTGATACGAGCCAACCAGGAATTAGCCAATTATTGAATTACTGAATTACTGCTCCCCACCATGCCGTTTACCATTTAGCCTTGCAGCAAACTGAGACTTGAATACAACAGTGAGATAAAGGAAATGAACAGTGGGCAAACAGTTGGAAAAGTTACATGTTTACTTCTATCTATGACAGTTCTACATGCATAACAACTTGCAGTAATATTAGCATATACAGATGTAGCAAGTTAATGTGCTCAGTTTTTCTCTCATATTAGTTTGAGAAATCATTTGGCCCCGCCCCCTCACTGCTGCCATTCAAATTTTCACTATTTGATCACCGTTACTTTGGCAAAAGATTTATTTTTAAATAAGTATGGCTCTTTGATTTTAATATAACAGATATCTGTCATACATTCAAACATCTGCAGGCTAGCAAAAAACATGTAATAATAAAAATAATAATAATATTTAATGTTTCATGTTTAGTTGACAAGTTCATACCATGAATATATTGTATGTCGATATATATCCTCCTTAGCGTGCGGCACTGAACTAAAATTTGCACAAACATCATCACATAACAGCAATTATGAACGTCTATATGTTTTTTTCAGAAAGATTCCTTATAAATCCAATATATGTTACGTTCATTTCATCATCCTCTTGTAAGTGCGAGATCGTGTTGTCACTTTGGTTCTCCCATGTGTCACATTCAATGTACAACAAAGCAGTTTACCTACAATGTCACTGCAACTGTCACTCCCATAAGAACAACAGTAATATTTGTAATATTTTATTTTCTAAAATTTGCTTTGTGTCACTGATTAGCTTATACATTTTACATGTCTTAACTAGCAAGATGATCTTTTAATAATGCAAAAGCCCCTTAGAATGAGGACATCCTCTACATTTGTAAATGTAGACCTGTAATGTCATGACTGCTGGACACCCGAAAGAAGAAATTTGTAATTGTACGGTAAAATAAAATGAACTAATATTGGTAACCAACAACGTGTTTCTTGGCCTCAGTGTTCAGTTATAAATATACATAGGAAGAAATCTCCTTTGCTGACTGTGCAAACTACAGCAGTTTATGTTGTGTGCACAACATAACATAAAGGTTAATCTAAACATATCACATGGAAATAAGAAAGGGTAGAAAGCAGACCTCAGAGTTTTCTTTCACACCTTTTGTTGCCTCCTGGTCACAGAGCTACCTGTTGTCTGAGCAGTGGCAATTTTTTCAGGCGTATTTGTGCTGCAGCACGATTAGAAGTATAGTGATGGCATCAAAGTACCTGGTGTGTATCCTCTGTCCACAGTCAGGCTGGGGAAAGGCATTGGTCTCAGGCTAAACTTGTTGTGAGTGAAGCCACACGAGGGGGAAGGCAGAATCCCCGGATACTGCGAGGAGTCCAGGGTTGGCACCGGGATGGCACTGACCACCGCTGAAACAGAAAGAACAACAAGGTGAGTGTTCCAGTGACCCACACTGAAACAGAGACAGTAAACCTGCAGACCACACAGAGATTGCAATTTCACGTTCCACCGATGCCAGTGCCTTTTTCATAAAGCTTATGAAGAACTGATCAGGACCAAAACTCAACGGATTCTTACTTTGATCATGCCGCATCTCTCCACCGTCTCTCCACCGTCATGAAATCTGGCTCAGCGGTGTTTGTGTAATCTTGCCGACAAACACGCAGAAGCCGAACAAGCAAACACACAGCACTGATCACATAACTCAACCAGCGAGAGATGAGGCAGCGATACATGAGTCAGAGTGGGAAAACAAACTGTGAGCACCACTGAAACAGATGTATAAAGAAGCAGGCTGATAGCAGTGACAGAGCAGACACGCACAGGAGTCAGCAAACCAGCGACAGAGCCAAACGAGTCAGGGTCACCAATATTAGTCATTGCACAGAAAGTTTTTATGTTTATTTCAGTTTCGTTTTTCAATTTCAGATATGTGTGGGTGCTCATTTTAGCTCATGCCTAGTTTGACCATTAATGTTTTCTTAATCTTAAT